GTAAAGGTTTTCCAGTACGCATACCCTCAGGTCATACATATACCTCAGCAACTCCTCAGTTATCTGGTAAGCTCAATACATTCATTGGTTCCCCAGTAAAACTTTAATTAAACATTGGCTTGACACTAGAACCTTAAAAGGGAATAAGCATTGCTTAGCATCCCCAGGAAAAGAACTCTCGCAACAGACAGAAAATTTATTTGTTCATGCTATTATGTCTTATAATTATTTTTTTAAAAAAAGAAAACGAATATGTAAAAGATGTTAAAAGGATATGGGAATGGAGATATTTTCCAAAATAGAAAAAATGAGAAAGCCTAAGCAAGTGATGAAGGTCTGTGTAGGTTTGTTATGATACATAAAGGATGAGACAAAAATAATATACACATAATCTTGAAATTTCTATGGTCATAGTTTAGTCAACTAGTTTAAGAAACAATATATATATCTAGTCAAGGTTTATCTGAGAATATTTGTTTTTTTACCCAAGCCTTATCTACATAGCACATGACAATTAAAAGTACCAGACTGGTGGAACTAATTTTATTGGATATTTAACAGCCATACTTTGAGGCCTATGCTAAAGTGGTCAGATGGACTTAAAGGACAGTTTTTGCCCCTTGCCCTCCAAGGTCGACTAAGTTCCAGGGGACTATGGAACATCTCTCAAAATGTCCTGTAACTGTTGCAAGTCACCTGTCCTCTTGTTCAGGGAGGCCATGGAGACCCCATGAGATGGACTTGAACCAGTGTCCAGTCTACAAAGAGGAGGGTCAGCTCAGAGGAAACATCTCATTCATGCTTCCAAGTGAAGCCAGCCATGGTCGAGTAGGACCTTTGACTTATCTTCACATAGATGGAACTGGTAAAAGAAAGGATCCAGGAGCTCTTCCCAAGCCCATGTGACCCCTGAGGAACAGAGCCTCGAATGACGTTAAGTGTAAAGATAAATTGATTCATTTGGACCAACTGTATGGTCTTAAACACCCAAAAGGAAAGTATAACCAAAGAGTAAAGTCATCAGTATATTTCTTTTAAGAGTTCAAGGGATTACACTTCCCAGACATTAGGCTTAAGTCTATATAAAAAGTTATTTA